TTTCTTTGGTGACTAAGAAATAGGGGAACCTGTCGGTGGATGCGCACGAACTCCTCGGGGCTGGCGGCCCAAGGGGGTAGAATGACGTCACCGAGTTTGGTACCATCCTCAAGGGCCCCGAAGTCGTAGTCATTGGTGTTTTCGAACATCTCAGGCAAGTAGAAGAACTCAGGGATGAGCTCCTTAACATTGGTACTGCTCTGCAGACATCCCGCCCACGTCGCCTTCACCGAGTAGAACATCCGATTGGGGTGATCGAACTTTCCACCCTGCTTAACACATGGAATTATTAGCAGAATTAGATCCCACTTTCTACAGTTACAAAAATTTATTACAGTTGTATAAATGAAACATAAATCTACGCTATCTGATAGGCAAGATAGAGGCAGACCGAGAGGAAATCAGGAAGCTATAAAAGCGATATGCACCTGCATATTGAGAAATAGAGTGGTGAATGGTTCCAACCGAATGAGATAATTAAGTACGAATGCAGCAGTGGAGTAGTGCGTGCCATAGTGGAAAGCAGGCTGAGTGGGGTCATCCCAGTCAGCATAGCGTTCATCGAAGAAGGCCTTCCGGGCGGGGTCGAGCGCTCCCACAGGTTTCGATAGGTCACGATAATTTGCAGGCTCGTTCAGATCAAGGTGGGAGTCAGTGTAGTTAGCGAGAACCCAGGGGAAGATGGGATACTGGTTTAGATCGTTGAAGCTGCGTCCTGCTAACGTGTTTAAACACATGAGGTAGTCGAAGTTAGACATCTCACGACGTTGCCATCGCTGCGTGGCTTGCGAGAGGGAGAGATGCTGCCGTCCTGAAGCCAGACTTGTTCGGTGAGACTGTGTCACCCCGTATCGCACCCCAATTCCCACTGGCGGGAGAGCGTAGACCACACGACGTACTATTGACTCGTCCGGCAACGCAAACATTACTGATGCTGATGCAGGAAGTGGGAAGGTTCAAAAAACATTTCCAACGTGAAGGTAACCGATAATACGAATAGGTAACATTAAAGTAACCCCAATACCTACCACGCAGTTTACGAGTATCTTGAAGTAATTGAGAAACCAGAAAAACAGTGCCGTAAACACACCCCTATTCTAATTCGGCAACGTTATCAAGAGAGTTCAAGACGCAGCACTCAAAGGTAAATTTACGCAGTTGTTGGGCAAGAACTATAAAATTAGGGAAATCCTGCCTAAATTGCATGACTATTAAAAAAGTGCAAATTTAAAAGAAAACACCAAAACGACTCAAGACAGATGGTAAGGAGTAAAGGTTCGGGTTGGAAAAATGCAAATCATAGGAACGAGGGAGGGAAAGAAAGGAAAAACTTAGTCTAAAGTCATGCAGCAGTCATAGGGAGTGCAGGCCCTAATTGACCTTATTGCGTTTTCAAAAAGGGAAATGCCAACAATGGCTTCGTGAAGCTGAAATTTGGAGGGGCAGAGCATGAACCTCATCAAAACAGGGCTTATTAAGCAAATGAAAAATAAACAAATTTGGGAAGAATTCCCTTAAGCCCGTTTTGCAATCGAAACAAATGTTCAAATTTCAATAATGGCGGCGACAGCTAGACCATCGCTCGAACCTTCAGATGGCGACGCTTAAAAGGGTAGAAAAACGCCTTTGCTTGAAACAAAACAGAAAGCCATTCCGCCAATTAGCATTCTGAGCATAAACAGAAAGAGTAAAATCCATAGAATTTTATTACGATGCCAAGAGGAGAGCCATCAGACAGGTTTGTTCTTTTCGGTAGCGCCAGGCCTTAAATAACAGGACGCGATATATCCTTTACCAACAAGAATGAAAGTCCAGCCCCAACCACACCTTCCAAATCATAGTTCTCTAACTGTTCAATGGTTGTATGATCTTCATTCCAAAAGAGACAACAGCTGCCACTAGGATTAATGCAATAAGAAAGTTTTGATGATCGAGGGGACCAGTTCCTTAACCATAATAGGTCCTAACATGTGTTACGTGGTCCTGTGAGAATGGCAATAGTGCTTCCCCTCCACTCACTTCCTCACCATTCTCGTCTGCGCTCCCTGACTCTCGGGAAGAAACTCTTCTCTTCCACCATCTTGACGCCTTGAAGAAACACATCAAGGGTCTCGTTTGGGCGTTGTTTGACTTTCCACCAATGAGCAACGCCA